GACGAACTGATACCTTTGAATTGTTGTATTACCGAAGAATATTGAATATACCATGGACTGCCAAAAGAATGAACAACTCTGTCTTGGAAGAAGTACATCCAGAATGCTCCTTGGAAGCAAAGATTGCGAGACTACGTCTCACATACTTTGGACATGTTATCAAGAGACATCAGTCCCTGGAGAAGGACATCATGCTTGGTAAAGCACAGGTTCGGTGAAAAAGAGGAAGACTTTCAATGAGATGGATGGACACGATGTCTGCAACAATGGGCTCAAGCATAACAACAATTGTGAGGATGGCACAGGACCAGGCAGTGTTTCGTTCTGTTGCACATATTGTCACTATGAGTCAGAACTAACTCAACATTAAGTGTGATATTAGTAAAAGTAGTATCAATATCTCCTAATGCAACGCATGTAGAGAAAAACAGACTCTGGGGTCAACTTCGAGTCAGGACTATATTTGAATTTGCTTCTCCTACTTAACAGACATATGGTAATGGGTAAATTACTACTCTCTCTGAAATTCAGTTTCTTCACTTGTAAAAATTGAGCAATAATACCTCCCTCACACGATTGTAGTGAAAATCAGATGCCAATATATGTAATGGAGACCTGGGTGGTGCAAATGGTTAATGCGTTTGGCTGCTAACTGAAAGGTTGGAGGTTTGAGTCCACCCACAGGTACCTTGGAACAAAGGCCTGGTGATCTGCTTCTGAAAAATTAGCCCTGAATACCTCATGGAGTGCAGTTCTACTCTGACAGACATGGGAGTTGCCATGAGTTGGAGTCAACTCAATGGCAACTGTTTTTTTTTTTAAATGAAAATATATGTAAAATGCAGATGTAGAGAAGGCATTCAATATGAGGTAGTTAATAACACCATATAAAGGTGCTGTTTGTTTTTGCTTTGTTCGACTGCCAAAGTTTCTTTGTGATCTTACTTTGTTGATTATTTTAAACATTTGGATACTTTGCATGAGTTCTAGAATGTGAACCTAGGGTCTCCAGGCTATAAAAAGTAGTTAAATATGACTAATATTGAAAACGTGCCTTTGGAGGACACCTTGTTGAATAAGTCTCTTAGGACGAATTCGAAGATACTCTATAGACTTTGAAAAAAGGTCATAATGATGTTTGCAGGATTTACATGGCAAAATTTGGGTTAAGAATTCTCTAAGTTAATGGCTCATAGTCATATGGAGAAAGCCTCAATGGAAGCCCTCTTCCTATTCCCAAGCAAATTTTAAAACAAATCTTGACTTAAGACCAAGAAATCCAGTCTTTCATCTGTAGGGTCAAGCGTGGAGCATAGCTTTGGGACTTAGATGCTCCTGGATTTGAACTTCTGCTTAGCCGCTTACTGACTACATACAACCTTGATCAATTTATTTAAGATGTTTAAGCTTGGGTTTCTTCATCCATAAAGTTGGGAATGATAAAAATACTTACCTCAGGTTTTTTGTGGGGATTAAGTGAGACATTACATATAAATCATTTATTTGCCCATGCAGTCTGACACACTGTAAGTGCTCAATAAATGATAACTATTATAGTGAAAGGGAGCCCTGGTGGTGCAGAGGTTAAGCGTTTGGCTGCTGATGGAAAGGCTGGTGTATCAAACCCACCAGACGCTCTGGGGAAGAAAGATGTGGCAGTCTGCTCCCCATAAAGATTTACAGCCTTGGAAATCCTATGGAGCAGTTCTACTCTGTTCTACAGGGTTGCTATGAGTTGGAATCAACTTGACAGTAAGTTTGATTTGGGTTTGGTTATTACAGTGAAATCTGTGACAGCCAGAACTTGACGGGACTGCCTTCTTTTTCCTGGTCTCACAGGTCTCACAAGTTTTCCGCCTTTGATAGGGCACAGTCTTACCACTTTTCTAACACTCATTTTAGTGAAAAATATTTGAGCTTTCCTTCTCTGACAGGTTTCTGCCTTACACAGGTTTTGCTGTATTTGTAAAATCTTCATACTCACAAGCTAACAGGTATATCGTATTTTGTTCAAACTTGGTAATAGTATTAAAACAAAAACAAAAATTAAGTTCATGTGAGTCTCAAAAACATTAAATTACATGCTTTGGTCTTGCCTTGCATTTTGCTTCTAGAGTTTCCTATATGTACATTCTTTCCTTCCCCCATTACTCTTGAACATGTCTTTTGCCCCAGTGCTTCTCAACGGCCTGTCCACCCCACAACACACAATCAGAATAGCCATGAGAAGGGGGAAGGAGGGGCCCTCTCTAACAAATTAGAAAAGGGTTTCTATCTTTCCTCCATCTCCAGATTCTGGTATGCTCCCCACGGGTGCTAGTAGTTTAGATATTACTGTCAGCGAAGGAAAATTCAAATATTTTCCACTAAAAGGAGAGAGAAAAAAGTGGTAAGACTGCATCTTGTCAAAGGTGGAAAACATGTGTGACCCAGAAAAACAAGGCAGTCCCGTTGAGTTCCAGCTCTCACAGGTCTCACTGTAGTCAGTTTACTTAACTGAAGTCAGAAGAGACAATGATAGCTAACATCTAATATTCACCCAACAGTGCCAGATACTCTGAGTTACAGATGTTATTTTGACTCTATAACAAGCTGGCAGGACAGATATTATTATCCCTACTTCCAAGATGAGTAGGCAGAGGCTCTGAGCCAATAACCTGCTTAAAGTCATACACCTAGTAAGTGACAGCACCAATGACCATAAGGATCAAGATGAAGTCATGCATTAATTGGGATGTGATGACTCTACTATATTTTCTACTTCCGGGCAAGGTCCATCTAGCAGCCTTTTACAGAGTAAAGTTAGCTTCTCATGTTAGCTCTAACATACATGCTATCATGATATTACAACCCTGGCGGCGCAATGGTTCAGAGCTACAGTGAGCGACAGCTGCTGACCAAAAAGATTGGCAGCTTGAGTCCACCAGCTGTTCCTTGGAAATCCCATGAGACATTTCTACTCTGTCCTATAGGATCACTATGAGTCAGAATCCACTAGACAGCAACAGGTTTGTTTTTTTTGTGTGGATCACAGTATCACCCTATCTGTATATGATTTTTAACCTTTTTACACCATTTCCCCCCTTCTACCATGAGTGTGAATACACAATAACAAATGCACCATGATCCTTGTATAGCCCACGCATACACATTATAGTCAATGCATCAGTTATACTCATAAATGAATGCTATAAATTTCACTAACATATAAAAAGTAAATAAACTAGATTTTCCTTATTGCCAGTAATTCCTGTTTAATTTCTCCTGGCAAATACTGAATCTCAAGTTGTGCTTGTTCTACAAGCAGAACATTTCAAATATTGTGGCATGAAGCCCCATACAGTCAGAGAAGGGGAAAGAGGAGTGTGGATGTGTTTCTTCCATAACAGGTAGAACGAAGTTTCACATCTCTGAGTAAGTACCACTTTCTGCAATCATTCCTAAAGTAGAAGTTCAGCTCACAGGTGCATTTTGGGAATGCCTGAACCACTCTAGAGAGCCCTGATGGTACAGTAGTTAAAAGGCTCAGCTGCTAACTGGCAGTTCGAATCCACCAGACCCTCCGCAGGAGAAAGATGTGGCAGTCCGCTTCCTTAAAGATGACAGCCTTGGAAACCCTATGGGGCAGTCCTACTCTGTCCTATAGGGTAGCTATGAGTCATACCGACTCCACGGCAACGGGTTTGAACCACTCTAACCATTTAAGGTCAAGCAAACAATTGGTCAATTCCAAAAACGTGTTGTGCAGGGCTTTCATCTGAGATAACAGGATTTCTGTCTACATATCTCCATATTCCATTTCTGGAATACAATCCGGTTCCTGATCTCACCCATAGCACCTCTGCACCCACTCTCACCCACTTTGGAAAGAAAGGCAGCGAAGCCACATGGTAAGCCTCACTAAATGCTCCCCGGCAAGCTGCCAGCTCTAGCCTAGGCCCCCAACTCTACCCGGGCTCCTTCTCTTCTCTTTAATACACTCAGGCTAAATAGTCCCTTTCAATCAACTCTAACTGGGAGTAGGACTGCTGGTCCCCTCCTGACTCCAGGTCGGGAGGAACCCCCAGGGTGCTGGCGGTGGCGCGCATGGCGCGCGCGCGACCGGGGCGGGGACTGCGCGCAGCACAGCGGGGCGGGCGCAGGACGCCCTCCACGAGCTCTCCTTTGTTCTGCTCCGTTGTGTGCCTGCTCGGCTCTGGGCGCTTCTTCCCTACATCTTGGCAGGCTTGGGGGTGGGGGTTCGTGAAGTGGCTTTTCGGTGCTTTTTTTTTTTCCTTTTATTTTTTACTAACTTGAGACCTCCTTAGCAGTGCCTTTCCTTCGCGGTTCCTGGCCCGTGCCTAGGAGGGAGGCTGAACGTAAAGTGTTATTTCCCCCCCCCAACGGCTTCTCCGCCGTTCTTCCGCCCCACTCCTCCTCCAGGAGGCATTCTAATCCAGCACTCTGGATGTTCACCTCCTGACCGCCCGCGCCAACGCCAAGAAGGCGACACGCGACCGCCGCCCCTCGGAGGGGCGCAGACTCCGGCTGCCGGAGCTCCGCTAGTCACCAGAGCGAGGGTCGGAGCCGGCGCGCATTCCCAGCCCGAGCTGGCCGCCTCGGCATCCCGGGAGCCAGCGCGTTGTGGCCGAGGTGGCCGGGCCCTCCCCGTCCCTGCGCTCACGCTCCCCGGCCGCCGGGCGACCGCCTCGGCCCCCCTTATATAGCCCTCTAAAAATAGCTCGCCTTGCACCGCCTTGTAAGGCAGCAGGGAGATCCACAGCGCGCCAATCGGCACTGGTTGCCAGGGCCAAGCCCCGCCCCAGGTCCCGCTCCGCTCTCTTCATTGGTGCTCAGTGACTTCATGAGCCCCCTGTTTACCTTACATGGTCACACGCGGCCTAATGGACGCCCTCCTCCGAGATCCCACGGCTGCGCGGAGAGCTGGGCAGAGGGAGGGAGTTTGGGGAGGGGGAAGAGCAGGAGGCGGAGAAGGGGGGGGAGGAGACTACAAACTAGCAAGGATGGGGTAGCGGGTGGGGAGGGAAGGGAAGAGTGGGGGGAGAAGCGATCGCGAGAAAAAAAAAATGCAACCTCCCAAAATAAAGAGCAAAGACTGCATTAGGAGCGAACAGCGCTGCAGAAATAGATGGCAGCTTCGTGTCAGTGAGTTTGCATCCCCCTTCCTGATCCACGAGCTGGAGTGATTAGAGCCCTGGAAGGGGATTGTTACTCCCGTGGAGAAGTCCCTTTTCCTGGCAGCCGTCTGCACTGTACACGCTGGACGCCTCTCTCCATCCACCCCACTCAGTCTCTCCTCTTTCACCTCCTCTTCTCCCTCTCTCCTGCATTGATTTTTTTTTCTCTCCTTTTTAGTTGACTGAAACAAAACAAAACAAAAGGGCCACTGGATGTCTGCCTTCTTGGGGGGTGAGCCAGACAGACTGACAAACAAACAGACCCAACTGTGTTCGGGGGAGGGTTTCTCCTCCCGTTTTGCCCGGCAGCAGCAGCATGGACGTGTTGGCTAGTTATAGTATATTCCAGGAGCTACAACTTGTCCACGACACCGGCTACTTCTCAGCTTTGCCATCCCTGGAGGAGACCTGGCAGCAGGTGAATGATTTAAATTACTTGTGTAAATCGTGTGGTGGCCGCGGAGACGCAGGGGCTGCGTTGGTGTGGGTTTGGGTTGTATTTTTTTTTTTTTTTTTTAGTTTTATTTTTTTCCTTTTTGGCGTTTGTTGTTGAAAATGTTTTCTTGAAACAGTCATGTGCGCTTACCTCTACACCACCCCTAGTCCCTTAGTGTGCCGAGCTGAGCGCAGTGCGAGCTGCCCGCATTCACTCACCAACACACATCCTTGTTCACACGTTGTGGGGCGCACTGTCCCCCAGCAGAGACCTGCCTAACTTCTGGGGTTCGGAGGAGCCGGGTGGGAAGCTGTCTTGGGGCTTTAGGAGCGATCGCTGCCAGGAAACCACGTCCTTGCATCCATGAGTTCTGCCTACTTGGTACCTGAAATCAGGTTCATCTCTTTCAACTGGTGCTGACGACCGTGAGATGTGGGGGAGGCAGGAGCAAATCGGAGTTTACCCAGTAATTAGCAAGTGTCAATAAAGAAAAGGGGCTTGATTTTGAGACTGGAAGGTGGGCAGAGAGAGAAAAGCCCAGTGACAAAAGATACCTAAAGAAATCTACAAGGAGGTCAGGAAGACATATCTTAGGCTGACAATGCATTGTAGATTTCCCCAGTCAAATGCCTCCAGGAAGAAAACACTCAGTGTATGTGTCCTTGTTTCTCTTTTTGTTTGGGGTCCTTCTCCAGTGAGACAGCGCAACCTCCGGCAAAGGAGCGGTTTGTGCTATGATGCTTCTGACTTTGTCTTAGAGGACTAGTTAAGAAACTCCGAAGATGCTGAAAGGCACCGACACCAAGTTGGCTAGGCATCCCAGCCAAGGCGAAGCGGGGCTGGTGATAAGTTCCCTGGGCTTTGTGAAGTGGCATAAAGAAAGTGCTGGTCAGTGGAAAGTGCTGTGTCTGCTGCGGAAACAGTGGTTTTCTCAGCAGCGATTAGGAGCTGCTGAGGGGACATTCTTCGAGAAAGATGGTGGGTGTGTGGGGGGTGGGGGAACACGCGTATTCTTTAAAAATTCTACAGTGTGCACCAGGGAAAGTCCAAGAAGACGGTCTGGATTTGCACATCAGAAGTGTGAACTTGTGCATTCCGTCCTGGAGAAACCTGGTTGCCCTTGGGGAGGGCTGCGCGAGGCTTGGTGTGTGGCTGCTCATGTAACTTCTCCGCTCTGTGACAGCAGCTTGTTTAGGCTAATGAACGGCTGAATTTCCTCTGCCAGGATCCAAAGCGGAATTTGCCAGCTTGAGGCTGGGATGTAACAGTTGCTGCTTTTGCGAGTGAGGTTTGGCTTTCAGTACAAGGAGGCGAGTGGCAAAGCACATTCTTTGACTGTACCTTTGTTACCAGTTGTTGTTATCCCTGACTCGAGGCTGCGAGTTTTCCTCAAGGTATTGGCCTCTGGTGTCTGTGTGTCCACACATGTATTACTGTCCAAGGATGCTGGTGGATAATCTGGACTTTGTCCACACATTTTTAGCACAAAGCATTTTTTCAGTGCCTCCTTTTCCTCATCTTTAACACGACTATATCGTGAAAGGGTCTCACTAGGTGTCTGTCCTCTTCTTATTTCGCATGCTAATTAAACCAAGCGGCTGTCAGAATTTCATCTGCTGAAATAGCCTTCATTTCACACTATCAGCCCGCTGATGTAGACTTGGTTGCATTTTAACAACTGTCTAGACAGGTTAGGGAAGGGAATCTCTTGATTTAGTCAGCCTGCCCAAGGCAGCCCCTGTTTGTGACTAACTGTTGGAGCAATGTTGCAGGGAAGGAGTTGGCTTTATTGGTTACAACATTCTTTCCTGATGAATCACACAACTTTGTTTTGGTTCAGGTCTTCACAGTAGTAAAGCCTGATTTGGGGAAAGGCCTCTCCAGAGGAAGCCTGCTTTTCTAGATCTAGCTTCACCATCCAGGAGAAACTCTAGATCTGTAAAGAAGCATCATTGGTTTGACAATTAGAGGATGTATTAGATCTATTGTTTCCTCAGAAGCCCTCCGTGCTTTTCCTTCCCCCCTCCCCCTTTGTCCTCACCCTCTTCAAGGAACCTCTAGCTTAGTTTCTATCTGCAGGCAAAAAGATTTGCTAACCCTCCTTCTCTCCCCCCACCCCCCTTACCTCTCCAAGTGCCAACCCGCCTCACCTTAAACTCCTTTGCCAAGCTGTTTCAGAGGCATGCTCATTGTCTGTACTGAAACCTAACTCATGGGGAAGCACTGTTAAATAAGATATCACTGCAAGCAGCTTTCTGCTTTGGACTCTAGTCACAACTGTTCTATATAAAGGTGACCATGACTTCAGTTCACAGGGATGACCAAACCTCCAGCCTTTATCTCTTCCTTCCTCCTCTCGCCCTGCACTGTTGCTGCCCCCGAGTGTAACAAGGGGGTTGTTGGTGGTTATACGCCAACTGTTCCTTCCAATTGAGCTATCAGATGGTGAAATTTTGAGACTCCTTTGCTCAAAACAGCTCAAGAAGGTTGCTACAAAGCACCCACGGCAGGAGGAAGCTTCCTGATGCTCTGTGGGGTAATCAGATTTTAGAGGTCAAATGGGGAGCAATTATTAGATGTTCTTTCTTAAAGTCAACGAAGTACCTGGTATCAAAGAGATGAGCGGAATAAGAAGATCCCAATAATCTGATTTGGTTTCTAGATAAAGAGTAGCTTCTATGACAAACCCAAGAATATCTATGCATTTGAAAATTGAGGATGGACTCCAAAAATTTGGGGATTTTATTTTAAACTTATGCTTTGGGATAATTGTCCTGCTTAATAGTCATTCAACCTGTGACGGCCCTCATGTCTCGGGGGTCATCATTTTGATATTGGGTTTTCAGGCAGTGGTATCTTAGCCACGTATAGCTCCAACTCTGAAAATCATTGCCTGTATAATTTTAAAATCCAGATGGACATCCTGCATTAACAGCTTTCCATTCCTGAGCTCTGACTGCATACTTAAGCACTTGGCCTAAGTAACATCATTTCTGCCTGTCATATAACTGTAAATTACACTGTGCTTATGTGGTCTGTTATTTTATGGAATTCAGCTGACGCACGACTCTTAAGGCTACCAGCCTGAAGCTCTTTGGAAACTTGCAGGAACATTTCCAAGGGCTGTTTGAGCAAAAGCAGTAAAGAGTCAAGGGTAGGACAGAAGCTGGAGTAGTTTCTAGGGTACCACTTGATGATAGAGCAAGGGAGACCCATTCATGACTTTTGTTGCTAATCACTGGCTTTTCTGGGCCCGTGGCTCACTCTGAAAATGAGAAGGATTTGCATAGTTCTTCCAGAACTTGCAAAGATTTTTAGAATTTTGATATATTCTTTCTACCTAGTCACTGCTTCACGAATGCAGGTCAGGTGATGATGTCCTGAGTCTTATTTGGACTTAGCTTTGCTTCATGCTATTGAGAAGCATGGTATGCCTACTTGAAAACTCTTTGGAAATTATGTTAGTTGTTAGTGCTGATTCATAATTGGCAGATGGGGTCAGTTTCAGGCCTCCCTTATGCTTGGAGAAAATTTTCCACTGCTACTGGAAACAAATAAATCATAGACCATTCCTCCTTCCTCCCCCACATCTCCATTGTTTTAAACTAATGGCATACTTGGCTACTGTGAGGACTAAAGTGTCCTCATAATACTGCAATTTCATCTTGGTTTCAAGCACCCCGAAACACTTTTTACAAGGGCCTTTGGTACAAGGCATCTCTAGGGTACAACTGACAGCAATGATTGCCTTCCAAGAACAGCATCATGGTACAGGGATGGGATCTGGCCTGCGAACCACATTGCCTCTCCCTCTCCATGGTGAGCTTTGCCTTTGCAATGCCTTCTGCAGGCCTGAGCAGCCAGGTGCTGTCTCCGCCAGAAAGACAAAAGCAAACTGTAGCGTCAGTCCATCCGCAGGTTCGCCTCTATCCCCAGTTTGCAGAAAACCTTGTCATGAATTAGAAATTCTTGGTAACAGCACCACCCAAGGAAATTTGTAGACACAAAGGAGCCTTGCTAACCACACTGAAAGGATAAAATAGCTGGGTTTTTTTTTTTTGTATGTAACTTGTGTGCTCTTCAGTTACTGTAAGTCTGTTTCTTCATTCGAAACAGGGACTTGGTAGATGAAAAAAATTAGAACTACCCTTGTTATCCAGATCTTTCTCTATAAGGATGAAATCACCACATAAATGTATCTTGAAAAATGAAAGCACATGGGAATGTAATCAATCACACACTTAGCCATTCTTTAATAGATTCATTTCCACCTTCTTTTAATAGACACATCTTTGTGTAGATTTAGGGGCTCTCTGATATTATCTACCTGTTCACAGTTTGATATTTTTAAAGTGGGTGAATGGTACAATGTAGATATTTTTACTGATCTGGCAGAGGGAGTCACTATTCTTTGTTCTCCCTGAAACTCCCACCCCCACTCCCTACCCTGAGGAGAACGAGATGTTGGGGTTCAATCCATTGAAAGGGCAGAGCAGAAGAGGCAGTGTGACATCCTTACCCTGAAATGATTTATGTCTGGGTATGTCAGAGACCCTATGTGTTCAAGTGTGGACTGTTTCTCTCTCTCAGCCCATTCTAAATATAAATGCCAGTGGGGGCTATTTGTCTCTCCACTTAAATGGGGTTAGTTTAGAGAGAGGGTTGTAATACGGTGTTTAGTAGCTATTCTCTTATGAATCTTCAGATCCCTTTCTCTTCAGATAATCCCTGTATTTTAACTTTTTGAGTACAAGAAGGCATTCCATCTTCCTTTAATCACTCTTTGTTCCTGTTGGGAAAGAATACTCTGGCCAGTCCCAACTGGTCCTGTTAGTAGGAGAGTTGCTTTGGTACCAGACCGATTGGTAGATGCACCCTATCGCTGTGGTTTACAGCCATGTGTAAGTGGTTTGTATCGCCTTTGCTAGACTCCATGACTGGCAAATGCAGAGACAGCCTCTGTGCTTTTGGTTTACTCAATG